TTAGACACTTGAGGTCGAGAGTTCAAGACCAGCCTGATCAACAGGGAGAAAACCGCCTCTACTAACATACAAAAATTAGCCAGCGTGGTAGCATATGCCTGTAATCCCAGCTACTCAGGAAAGCTGAGGCAGGAGAACCGCTTGAAACCAGGATGGCAGAGGTCTCGGTGAGTTGAGATCGCGCCATTGCACTCCAGTCCAGGCAACGGGAGCAAAACTCCGTTCTCAGGAAAAAAAAAAAAAATTGATTCTTCCAGTCCATGAAGAACATGGAGGCCTTTTCCATTTTATTGTGTCCTCTTCAGTTTTTTGCTCAGTGTTTTGTTTGTTTGTTTGTTTGTTTGTTTTTTTCTGAGACAGGAGTCTGCCTTGTTGCCCAGGCTGGAGTGCAGTGGCCGGTCTCAGCTTTCGCTGCAAGCTCGCCATCTCCCGGGTTCACACCATTCTCCTGCTCAGCCTCCCAGTAGCTGGGACTACAGGCACCCGCCACCGCGCCCGGCTGTTTTTGTATTTTTTTTTAGTAGAGACGGGTTTCACCGTGTTAGCCAGGATGGTCTCGATCTCCTGACTTCGTTGATCGCCCTTCTCGGCCTCCCCAAGTGCTGGGGATTTAACAGGCTTGAGCCACCGCGACACCGGCCTGCCCCGCACGTGTTTTAATAGTTTTTTTTTTTTTTTTTCTTTTTTTTGAGACAGAGTTCGCTCTGTCGGCCCAGGCTGGATGCGTTGGCCGGATCTCAGCTCACTTGCAAGGGCTCTGCCTCCCGGGTTTAAGCCATTCTCCGCTGCCTCAGCCTTCCCGAGAGCTGGACGTGAAGCGCCACCACCTCGCCCGGGCTAGTTTTTTGTATTTTTAGTAGAGACCGGGGTTTCACCCATGTTAGCCAGGGATGGCCCTCGATTCCTGACCTTCGTGATCCCACCCTGGTCTCGGCCTTCCCCAAGTTTGCCTGGGGATTTAACAGGCCTTTGAAGCCACCCGCCGCCCGGCCAGTGTTTATTAGTTTTTATTGGAGAGGATCTTTCACTTCTTCAGTTAAGTTTATTGAAGGGGTGGCCATGGCCCCTCCACACCAGACAAAGTATAGAGAAAGAAAAGCGGGTCCAAGGGACCGGGCGCTTCAGCTTACAGGAGGACCCACACCGCACGTGTCTCTGAGTTTTTCCTTAGTTAATTTTATTGATAATTATTTTACCATTCTTAAAGATAAGGAGTGGCAGGGGACAATATGCATTCATTGTAGGGAGGAAATCAGCAGTAAGACATAAGAACAAAAATTCTCTGTGTGACCTGAATAAGGTTTTAAAGAAAAATGCTGTGCCTGGAGATGCATTAGCAAACCATCTCCCATAAACCTTTAAGCCAGCATTGTTTCAAGCCTATCACATGGGGAGGAAACCTTGGACCAATACCTATCTTTCCTAGGCCAGAGGGTCCCCTGTGACCTTTTGCCATGTACCGTGTTCCCTGGGTAAGTTTGAAATTAAAGGAGAATGGGTTGAATAACTTTAACCAAGCGAAGCATGCCTTCAGGCATTTGTTTTAACAAAAGAACCATCCGTGCACAGCCCAAACATTAAACTTGAGTTCACCACCAGCACATAGGGTCACAGATTTAACAGCATTTCTTCAAAATACAGACCAAAATGGAGTCTTCCTTATGTCTACTTCTTCTATATAGGAACCACAGTAAACAACTAATTTTCTTTTCTTTTTTCCCCCACAGTTTCATTCCTAGGTATTTTATTTTTTATTTTGTAGCTAAATGGGATTAGTTTTTCTTGATTTCTTTTTCAGATTATTTGCTGTTAGCACATTAGAAAATGCTTTACTGATTCTTTTCATGTTGATGTTGTATCCTGAACTTTACTGAATTTGAGTTCTTCAGTTTATTAGGTTCTTTGGTGGGGAGTCTTTAGGTTTTCCAAATATCAGACCACATGATGTACAAACAAGGATTAATCTGACTTACTCTTTTTCAATTTGATGCCCTTTATTTTCCTTTTCCTGTTTCTGATTGCCTCTAGCTAGGACTTGCAGTATTGTGTTGGAAATAACTTGTTAGTGAAGTAGTCATCCTTGTCTTTGTTTCCAGATCTTAGAGAAAAGGCTCTTAGTTTTCCCCCATTTCAGTATGTCACTGCTGTTGAGTTGCTCATATATGACTTTTATTATTGATGTCTTTTTAATGTATTGTTGAATTTGGTTTGCTAGTATTTCATTGACAATATTTGCCTCAGTGTTCACCAGGGATATAGGCCTGTAGTTTTCTTTTTTTGATGTGTCTTTGCCTGGTTTTGGTATCAGGATATTCCTGGCTTTGTAAAATGAGTTTGGAAGTATTCTTTCCTCCTCTATTTTTCAGAACAATTTGAATAGGACTGATATTTCTTGTTCTTTAAATGTTTAATTGTGGTAAAGTATACATTACATAAATTTTACTGTTTTAACCACTTCTAAGTGTATACTCGGTGGCATTAGATACATTCACATTTTTGTGCAACCCAAAACTCTGTACCCATTAATCGGTAACTCCGCATTCCTCGCTACCTCTGGCCCCTGGTAACCACCATTCTACTTTTTGTTTCTATGAATTTGACATTCTAGGTACCTCATTTAAGTAGAATCATGTAATGTTTGTCTTTTTGTTTCTGGCTTATTTCACTTATAATATTTTGAGGTTCATCCAGGTTGTAGTATGGGTCAGAATTTCATTCCTTTTAATGATGAATAATACTCATGATATGTATGTACCACGTCTTGGTTATCCATTCCTCAGACAGTGGACACTTGGGTTATTTCTACCTTTTGGATATTGGCAAATATTTCATTTCTCTTGGGTATATATTTATTTCTTTTGGGTATATATCCAGAAATAGAACTGTTGGACCATACAGTATTTCATGTTTTAATTTTTAGAGGCATCACCATAGTGTTTTCCATTGCAGGTGTGCCATTTTATATTTCCAGAAGCAGTATACAGGGGCTTCAGTTTCTCTACCTCCTTGCCAAACTTGCTATTTTTGTGTGTGTGTGTGTGTGTGTGTGTGATAATAGCCATCCTGATTGGTTTGAGGTAGTATCTCATTATCTCATTGTGGTTTTGATTTGTATTTTCCTAGTAACTACTGATATTGAGCATCTTTTTGTGTGTTTATCGATCATTTGTATATTTTCTTTGAAGAATTGGCCATTCAAGTCTTTTGCCTATTTTTCTCCCCCACATAGCTTCTCATGGCTACTTTGCCCATTTTTGAGTGGGTTGACTGTTTTGTTGTTTCTGTCAGACTTTTTTATATTCTATATATTCTGAAAACTAATTTCTTGGTTTCTCAAAAAGAGACGGAGGCTTGCTCTGTTGCCCAGGCTGGAGTGCAGTGGCACGATCTCGGCTCACTACAAGCTCTGCCTTCCAG